AGTGATATTCTCTGAGTTTCAGAGTCTAGGCCTTAAGAGGCCTTGAAGCTTCTGCTTTTGTCGTCTTGGAGGCCCAGGCCTTCATGGAATTCCAGTTATCCTAATAGCTAGACCATTTGAAGAGAGAGTGAGAGGGAAAGGGAGAAGGAGAGGGAGAAAAAAAGAGTGAGAAAGAGACAGAGAGAGAGAAATCCTAGAGATTGAAAGATGTCAAAAAGAGTTCCTGGAGAATGAAAAACTCTAAGGAAAGAGACTGCAGCATTCCAGCCATTCAACTGAGGGGCCAGAGGTGAGTGAGGCCCTCTTGGATCCTCCAGCCCAAACTGAAGCTGCTGAGTGAGCTCAGCCCTCACCACATGGAACATAGACAAGTCATCCTAGCTGAGGCCTGTTGGGACAACCCATGGACTCACAAGCAAATACATAATTATTGTTTAAGACACTACGTTTTGGATGGTTTGTTACACAGCAGTGGGTTACTGAAACATCCACAGTATTGACCAAATGCTGCACTTCGTAACTGGTTCTTTGGTCAAAAATTTTTTTTCTTCACTTTTGTCCTTGCTCATTTTTTTAAAATTATATGATCAAAAGCAAAGTGTCCAATGGGATTAGTAAATCTGTTGTTAAATTAAACATTAGAAAAGACAAGGAAATGTAAAGGGAAGTCAAAGTTGGGTCTAATGGAGAAACACTCATGTGAGTTAAGTTTGTTTTGGGGATCAGGAGACGGACGTTCCTTGATTTACTGAGAAGTCCCAGGGACGGTATCCAGAGTCCCAGGAGCAGAAATTTGTGAGAGATGAAAATGTGCCAATAGAATTGAAACCTTTTTTGGGGGTGACACAGGTTGAAATCTAGGAGAAGCAGATGCTGAGAGAGTCAGGAGTCCAAAAGTTTTATTGGGAAGTAACACCTGTAAAAAGAAAAAGGGAAGAAAATGGGATTGGGCAGGGAGAGCTGTCCAAAGCTGTCAGTGATGCAGACATGACAGCCTCTGCCAGACCACTGGAGTTCCATACCAAGAATCGTTCATGAGTCCCATGTTCCCTGGGAATGGCTAAGCCCTGTACCACCCACCACCTTGCTTAGCCTTTGGCCAGGGGTTTGGAGAACAGTAGGACAGCTGGAGGCTGTCAGCTAACCAGGTTTCTTGCAGCTAGGTAGCCAGTTCTTTCTTAAAGGGACATCTCTGAAGTAGCACACCTCTGTATCTGCCAAAGGGGACTTGACGTACCTTATGTAGGTTTTTATATGGTAACTGCGTTGGTCCTTAGGTTGTCATACGGATTCAGTTAATATATTTCAGCATGGTTATTATGAAAACTGAATGTAAGAGAACTGTACGTCCCCGCCCCCTTCTCTTTCTTCGTAACATGAGTCAGTTATTTCCCTTTCTGGAATCCCACAGGCCACTGTGTCTATCACAGTATTTACTACCATGATATAAAAATGTTTTCATTTTTCTTCTTCCTTGACTGAGCCCCCTTAGGGGCAGAAGTTTGTTTACCTTTGTATCTACCCAACACTTGGTCTCTGAAACAAAATAAATCTTCAAAAATTAACTGAACGAATGAGTGAGGAAGCTGTCTCTTGCTTCATAATACTAGTGATCTTTTTATCCATCTAGTTTGAACTGAATCCACTATGTATATTTCAGGTAAAGCATTTCGCAAGCTGCATTTCTTGACATATTCATTTCAGCAGGTTAGAGTTAATTCACCTTCCAAAAGGATGATCAAATGAGAAGTGCTTGAGAGTAAGAAATGGTGGGGTTGAGGGTGGGGATTGGAGGGGACTGCAAGAAGGAAGAAACTGAAGGCTCTAAGAGAGGAATAAACTAAAGGTGAAGAGAGAAAAGTAAAAGTTGTAGGTCAATGAAAGAATAAAAAGCAGGAGAGGAAAAAGAAGAATGAAAAGGAGACAGAAGGGAAAATAAAGTAGAGCTATGGAGTGGGGTGGGGAGTCCAGCTCAGTGCTGACCTGCCCAAGGAAGCATCCATTAGTAGAAGCCTCACTGACAGCTGTTACCATAATGGGAACTGGCATCTAAAGAGAGGGCAAGTCTAGTTTAATTAGTTAAATGGCATTATCTATGTCCAATGGGGGTAGGGGAGGTAAAGGGAATAGGATTGGTGACCTACCTCCTTCCATAGGCTGAAAAGAAAAACAGATTTATAAAGCTTTGGTAAGGAATTAAAGAGACAGGAGCTGTTTCTTCTCCAGCCGACTTCACAAGATTGCCATGTCCTATTCACTAGCACCTTTAAAGTGGGACGGGTTTAAAGTTGCCTCCAGGAGGCAACTAGAATCAAACCTCTGTTCTTTACCTTGAATCGAGCCAGTAGGTTTACTCACCTTTCCCTTCAGTCTTCCAGCCAGCCTCACCACTTCAGGAGTCTTTAGTATGTAACGGGAAGCAAGCACCATTCCTGACCACTGGTGGTTAGCACTGAGACTGGGATTCTGCCGACCTGGGTTCTTAATGCAGTCCTGCCACTGATTGGCTGAATGTCTTTAGGCAAATCATTTTACCAGTCCCATCCCTTTAGCATGTGGTTTCAGTGATATAATCTTACAAAAGAAAAAAAAAAAATTCCGGAGAATGTTCTCTTTAGGAAAGCAAGGTCTTAAGAGTCAAATCTGAACCTTACCATGTTGTGGAGAGACAAAACAAAACAAAAAATATATATATATATGCTTCATTTCATTCTCCCACCCCCAATGTACTTCCTCTGCTAAGAATACTCCTTTATATTATCTTGTTGGTAGAAATTACTAGGGTTGAATTTTTTTTTTCTGTTTATAACATCAGACCTCAAGTATCATAAAGATGAATTCATCTTGGTTCTGCAGATTAACTGATGTCAGCTAGGCTGGCCTACAAGTCAGGATAGATAGATAATGAAACAGCTTTCAACCTCCAAACAAAACAAAACAAAAAAGGTAAAATAAAATACAAAAGCCTGGTGGTGGAAGGCTCTAGGCAAAGAGAAAACCTGGACAATGGCTATAAACAATGAGCAAATCCCCTACCTTTTGAGAACACAAACACCATTTCTACAAGGAAATTACATTCACTGGAGGTTATTTTAGGAGAAGGCTGAGCAAATTAAATATTTCAATACCATATGTTCAGCTTTGGCGGGAGATGTAGGTGGGAAGGGAATCTCAATGTTAGGGAATGCTCATATCACACCCCAGCTGGCTGTTTAGTCATGAAATAAGGAGAAACACACAAATATTTGGTTAAAACACCTTTAATGAAAAGGGAAAGACACTAACATCTCCGTTGTCTGCTCTTCACATTTTTACTATGTTAGGAAACTGGAGCCTACACCTTTGGAGGAGGAGCCATCACTCAAGTCAGTCAATAGCAGAACCCTCACTCCCTCCTCCTCAGAACTCTGGTTCCAAATGATCCTATGTTAAAAGTAAATACTACATCTCATTACAAAACGGAGAGGCAGGGAGGACAGCACCTAGGGCTCATCTCCCAAAGTCTGGGACTCTAAGAACCAGACAGCGGCAAAGACATAAGCCCCGGTCCGTGGACAAGCAAAATGGGAAGGAAGTGGACCTTGAAAGAGGAAGATGAGGAAAATACAAGGGGCCAGGGAATAGCGGCGGGGGTTATCTAAAACTAGAAGCACACTTGTGCTAGGAAATCCCCCATGATCCATGGTGCATTGCTGCACACTAAAGTCACCATTAGTTCAAAAGAACATTCATGAGACCCGTCGACCCATCCAATTAAGAGTTTGAGGTCCCCTCCCTTATACCACACCCCTTTCTTAATCACATAGGGTCTCAGCAAGCCCTATGCTTTAGCAACACTCCTAAACTCTCCATTATTCCTTCAGCTAACCCTCATCAACAATGCTTGTTAAAGATATGAACTTCACCTTTCCTTCCCCAAAATATCCATCCCATGGGAGACCTCTCAGCAAGAAATCCACTTGTTTCCTAACTCAGAGGCAAGGATGAAAGATATGAGAAGCTCAAAATATCTTGGCATATTAACCAGCCAACACCTTTGCCTTAACGTGACGAAGGCACATTAGTGCCTTACTACTGGTAAGAGTGTCCTATGCCCTTCGTTTCTCCCTACACCCTGGGGCTGAGCCACCAGATACTGATATTGTTGCATCTTCATTGTCGGCACCTGCTGGAGCAGGGGGAAGGAGAAGAAATGTACAGTTTGCTACTTCTCTTCTATGATGGGCTTTCTCAGGCACTGTCTTGGATGCCAGAGGCCAAAAGAAAAGGAGGGGGGAATCTCTTCTTGGCTTCTCTGGATCCCATTGCTGGAGGCAACTTCTCGGCCACAGTTCCTGGGCCAAACAGCACTGGTGGTGTGGGGCCTGAAGGGGTAGTGGAGATGGAGATGGAGCTGGAACCCTGGGGCTTGGTGGGCAGGTCACTTGACAGTAAAGCCGTGTCCTGGTTTCAGCAAGACCCTGGGCACCCACCCTCACCAGCTGGGCAGGAATGGCCTGGGACAAGAAGT